GGTTCAGGCTTTAGGGTTTAGGGACCCTATTTTGGTTGACCCCTAATAAGGATCCCACTATTTGGGGTACTATATTTGGGTTCCCTATTTTTCGGAAACCCCTATGTGTAATCTAGTTTTTTGAGGCACTTGATCTTGCAGCGCGAGCTCTAGCTGTAGGCCCGCCATTCCGTGGGATTTTTGATTTAGGAGACAGTCCGAAGGATCCCGGAAGGGTCGGGTATGTCGCGGCCTTGTCTAGGGCTTTGGGTGTCTGTGTAGGCTTCTCCAGTTTAGGGTGCCAGGGTTGGCGCGGGTTGTTGGGTTTATGGCTTTGGTGTTGACGGCTTGATGCTTTCATCTCGCAGACTCTACAAGGTAAAACCCTAAAACCCTAAACCCTAAACCCTATACTCTAAACCCTAAACCCTAAGCCTGAAACCCTAAACCCTAAACCTTAAACCCTGAAGCCCTAAACCCTAAAAGTCTTGCAGCTATGCGAAATCCCGAGGTTGACCAGTACGACTCCATCGCAGGCTTAGTTATCATCCCTCTAGAAAGCCCTAAACCCTAAACCCTCAACCCTAAACCCCAAACCCGCCCAAAAAACACCCTAAACCTTCTATAGCTCCATAGGACCTTATGAAACCCGAAGAAGCTGGCAGTCGACCCTCAACAAACATGCCAATCCTGGAGCCCAAATTCAATCGTAGTCCCTTTTCTCTAAACCGGTTTCGGGGTTTCGGGAGAGGGTTTAGGGTTTAGGGTTTCGGGGTTTAGGGGTTTAGGGGTGGGTTTAGGATTTAGGGTTTAGGGTTTCGGGGTTTAGGTGTTTAGGGTTTACCCTGTCCCCAAGCCCGAATAAAACCCAACAGACACAAGCTTCAAGTGCCCAGCGGGTTTCCTAGGCTTGGGCCCCGCGTTGGTGTCCACAGGCGTGCAGATGTTCCAATATCGTGCCTCGGATTGGTAATATAGGGTTTACGCTTTAGGGTTGAAGTGATACATGCAGTCTTTTCTCTTTATATTGCTGGTCGGTGTTTTGTCATATAATATAGATACTTTTGTACTTTGCCTTTCTTTATGCCGTTCGTCTTCCTTCTTATTGTTAAGTGGTACGTGGCACTTTGAGGAAAATGCACTATGGGGAACCCTGGACGCCGGTTAACATTACAGCCCCACGGAAGGATGACATTATTCTTGCTTTCATCGTTCTGCTGTTCATCATCGTCGTCTGTTTCTTCTTCTTGCTGTTATTCGTGTTACGACGGTCTCATCTGGTCTTAGAAACCGCCAAGATCCCGGAACTAGCATCCTAAGCCCAAAACGCACTTAGATGAAACGACGATTCCTGAACTGGGAGTTAGGAGCCTTAAGCTAAGGGCTAAACCCTAAACCCTAAACGCCCAAACCCTAAAACCCTCAACCCTAAACCCTAAATCCTAAACCCTAAACCCTAAACCCTATTGAAGCTGTCAGGGCTTAGGGCTTCGGGATTAGAGCTTTTTGGGGCTTGGGCTTCCGGGATGAGGCCTTGGCTATAAAGGTAGTTTTCTAAATTCGGGTCCCTTTTAGGGTCCTTATTATAAGGGTGCCGTACTATATTGGGGACCTAGAAAGGGAGCCTATTTTA